CACAAAAAAACAAAAAACCCCACAAAAACAGCACCTAAAATGTTCCTTAATAATTCAGTGGATAAACAAACTCTGATACATCTGTGCCATGGAATACTAGTCAGCAATACCAGGAAAGGAACGTCACACAACTTGGAAGGATGTCCAGGGCATTATGCCAAGTGGAGGAAGCCAGTTATAAAAGGTTACATTTTATAGTTCCTTTCTCATAACATTCCAGAAATGACAAGATCATAGAAATGGAGGTTAGATGGGTATTGCTAGGGGTTCGGGACGGTGAAGGAGAGACAGAGTCTGACTGCGAAGGACCAACAAGGAGACTTTCGTGGTTTTTTTGTTTGTTTGTTTGTTTACAAAATGTAATCCTTTTAAATAAAATATAGAATTGTAAATATTGAATGCTATTAGCAGGTATATTTTTCTGGCAGGCAGATGTACTAAATTTTGGTCTACACGTGAAAACACAGCAGCACCAGAGAGTTTTGGTTTGTATCTTGACTGAGATGGGCATCCTTACGTGAAGACACATAAGTAGATCTATATATGTATTTTGATATTGAAGTCCTGGCTTTGATATTATAGTATAATTATATACGATGCAGACATTGGAAGAAACACCAGGGAACTCTCTGTACTCTCTTTGCAACTTCTTATGAATATATTATCATTTCAAATTAAAAAATAAATTGCCACAATGGGTCTACCACAATTATTTCAAATTAAAACATAAATTGCCACAATGGATCTACCACAATTATTTTGAATAGATATCTTGGCTTTTGGGGTTTTTTGGGTTTTTTTACAGTTTGGCCAGGGCTGGGTTTGAACCTGCCACCTCTGGTATATGGGGTCAGCGCCCTACTCCTTTGAGCCATAGGTATCACCCAAGATATCTTGTTTTTAGTCTCCTACGAGTTTCAACCTTACTCCACCACTTAATGCTCCTATATTTGGTGGGTGCTGTGGACTATTAATGTTTCTTACCATCAGAAAATTTACTTGCTAAAATCATCAAAAATTTTATGTGAGGGCAGCACCTGTGGATCAAAGGAGTAGGATGCTGGCCCCATATGCTGGAGGTGGCAGGTTCAATCCCTGCCCCAGCAAAATAATAAAATAAAATAAAATTCATGTGATAAAAATTAAATGGAAGGTAAATGCTGCAGTTAATAAAGATATGCATTACCTTCTATTTAATTTAATTAACAATGCAATTTATTAAAATTCTCTTTATGCTAAGGATTACAGTATCATAAAAAGAGATCATAAAAATGATTTTAAAATAATTTTAATGTCAGTTCTATTTTAAACATTTTAATAGTGTTATAACTTGAAGGGGTGGAATCTGGTATATTTATGTCCTTTTGCATTTTTAAAAGAATAATCTCCTTCATACTTTCAGAAATTTGAACTAATTATACATTACCAATGAGGTATGGCAATTAAGTTCATGAACTCACCTCAGAAGTGCTGCATACCTCGTGTCACCATATTCACCTTCACAGCACTCCCCTGGAAGCTTTGCACTGATGCCGGTGCTGAGTCCACCTTCAAAGCACTTTTGGAAATCTTTTTGGTTTTTTTCTCATTTTTTTTTTTTTTTTGAGACAGAGGCTCACAGCAACCTCCAACTCCTGGGCTTAAGCAAGTCTCCTGCCTCAGCCTCCCAAGTAGCTGGGACCACAGGTGCCTGCCACAACACCCAGCTATTTTTTGGTTGCAGCTGTCATTGTTGTTTTGGTGGGCCCAGGCTGGATTCGAACCTGCCACTTTAGGTGTATATGGCTGGCGCCTTAGCCACTTGAGCCACAGGCGCCGAGCCATGGAATTCTTTTTTGCATAATGACTTTCAGAGCTGTCGTCATATGAGGCAGACAATTAGGTTA